CCTCAGTTGTTTAGTTTTAAAATGTGTTCAGATTTTAAAAGTTGTGTATTACAGCCTTAAAACATTGTCACACTTTTCATACATGCTGTCAGCCTTCAAATCTGGAAATTGTGTGTTTGTTTGTTTTTTTTTGTTTTTTTTAAGAATTATACCAAATAACAGTATAATAGTTCAACCAAAAATGTAATTGCTTAAAGATTAATTATCCTCATGCCATCCAATTAGTTATTTTTTGTACTTTAACCCGTTGCTTCTGGTCAAAATCCATAATAAAGCTTCCTCCAGTGAAAAAGTTCATCCCCTGTTGTCTTCTCACATCAAAATCAACAGACATATATGTTTCGAATTGTTTTGGACAGTTTTCGCTTCTAAATTATGGTGGATCTATACATATTTCTCTCCTGATTCAGACGAGACAACTTTTTTAGTGGAGAAAGCAATATTATGGATAGATGACTCAAATTTAAGCAACGGCTTGAAGATAGAAACAGCTTGATGGATTTAATTCTTAACACAGTTTTTCCTTTCACACTACATTAACTGATGGACTGGAGTCGTGTGGATTATTGTGATGTTTTTATCAGCTGTTTGGACTCTCATTCTGACGGCACCCATTCACTGCAGGGGATGAGCAAGTGATGTAATGTTAAATTACATTAAATCTGTTCTAATGAAGAAACAAACAAACTCACCTACATCATGGATGGCCTGAGGGTGAGTAAATTTTCATTTTTGGGTATACAGTGGATAATGGTTTTATGATTACCTGCAGTTGATAACCAGGGGAAGTCCTTCAGGTGGGCCATTTCTGAGATCATTCTTCACTGAAATCAGTTCCAGTGCTCCAGTTGTCTACATACCCTGTGCTTTCATGACTGAGCAAGAGCTCTGAATGGTAACTCTAATTATGCGATTCCTGCCCTGGGCTGTGCTGAAAGCATATTATTTTTGTCTGTATTCCTTTTAACTTAGAATCTGAACAGATTGTTCAGTTCTGATGCACCAGCTGATGTTCTCTTCATTCATTGAATCACTATGTTCTGTCATTTCTCTGCTGAGAAAGTGGTAGCAATGCAATTTTGCATTGAATCCAGTGATGTGCTGCAGGCATATCGACCTCGGCTCTGTTAATTTACCACTGGGGATGAGTTGAACAGGGAACGAATTTACATCGTGAACAAACTCCATGCAACAGACTGAAGATGATTCCTGTCAACACTAGCTGTTCACACTCTGTAACAGAGTCATCAATGATTTTGAGCAATTAATTAAAGAAAAACCCAGGCTTCAGATGTAATTGGAGTGCACAGAACGAGTTTTCAAGAGCTACAGCTCTTCAAATGTCATCAATATTTCTGCTTCATTCAACTCGAGGAATAACTAACACAATGTGCTCTATGTCAGATAAAATTTATTCCAGCTTTTTGAGTAAACATGAATTCAGAGTGTTGGTTCTGCTGTGGAAATACAACATTTTCTGTGCGGTTTAATTCGCAAGCAAAGCTCAGCAACTCTTTTTATGTGCAAGGCTTTTAACGTACAAATGCTGCTCAAATTGAGTTTATTTTCCTGCCTGCAACAAGTGTTACGAACAGGATGTTCAATAGAGACAAAGACACCCGAAAAGGTCCTTCTTAAGGGACTAAAAACACTTCATTAACTTGTATTTGCATGACTAACTCCTTTCATGTGCCGTCTGATTGTCACAAGGCCAACAGACTGTAGGCAGTTAATTCCTCACAATTACTTTCCATAAAGCCCCAGAGACATCAGAGGAGGAGTCTCCTCAAGAAATGGCCTTTAAATTGACATGGCTTCTTGAAATAAACATATTAAAATCATTACATAAGAACTGGCAAATTACTTTCTATGGAAGCTTGTTTCTGCCACTGAATAAAATATAAAAAAGGTAATTGCAATTTTTTTTATCTGACAATTCTGACTTTTTTCTCGCAATTACAGATTTACATCTCACATTTCTGACATTTTTTCTCAGAATTGTGTGATATAAACTAGCAATTACGAGTTATAACGTCAGAATTGTGAGATATAAACAGTTTTGAGGAAAGAAAGTCATATTCACAATTCTGACATTTTCTCACAATTGCGAGTTTATATCTTATAATTCTGACTTTATAACTCGCAATTGTTAGAAAATGTCATAAACTGACTTCATTATTCACAATTACGAGTTTATATCTCGCAGGTGTTAGCATTCAGCCAGCAGACGTCAGTGCTAACTTGTTTCTGCGTGGGAGATGCAAAGTTATACTACTATCGTCATTATGCGTTAGCATGGCATCAGGGCAGAACACCCACACTGGTTAGGAAGTGAATATGGAAACAGAAAAAAAAAAACATCTACAGATAGCCCATGAAATGAGAGCGCATCATTATTACCATACCAACGTCTATATTTCAGGAGAAACAAAGGAGGAACGTTTCAAGGGGTCTTTTGGCTCATTCCTGACTCAGTATGCAGTCAGGTGTTGTAATGCCTAAAACACCTCAAGCATCTGATTCTTTAAGAAATCTTTCAAAGGAAGTTACTTAATTGCCACATGTACATCTCAAGGTTATTAAAAGAAGAAGAAAAAAACTGATTCATTCAGTTTGGCATAATTATGTTGATATGCTGTTGAATCTGAAGTCCTTCAAATAAATCCGGTCATTAGTGATTCACTGATGTCACATATTCAGAGAATGGAGAATGAATTGATACCACGCTTTTTTGCTTACTTTATAAAGTGAGTCATATTGTTAAACCAATAGACTTCAATGAGAGTTATTTTGGACTAACAACGTAGGCAGTCTGATAGCCTTAATAATGGAGTCTGTCTCCATCAGTAAGCTACTATATAAAACACCTCAAGCATCTGATTCTTTAAGAAATCTTTCAAAGGAAGTTACTTAATTGCCACATGTACATCTCAAGGTTATTAAAAGAAGAAGAAAACAACTGATTCATTCAGTTTGGCATAATTATGTTGATATGCTGTTGAATCTGAAGTCCTTCAAATAAATCCGGTCATTAGTGATTCACTGATGTCACATATTCAGAGAATGGAGAATGAATTGATACCACGCTTTTTTGCTTACTTTATAAAGTGAGTCATATTGTTAAACCAAAAGACTTCAATGAGAGTTATTTTGGACTAACAACGTAGGCAGTCTGATAGCCTTAATAATGGAGTCTGTCTCCATCAGTAAGCTACTATGAAACAATGTGGAACGTGTTTGCTCACTAAATGAAGATGTGCTGCCATCTGGTGGTCAACTCCAAGATTACAGTTCACTATGATAGTGTTGACTGTTGGGATTCCGTTAGAATTTCAGCATATTATTTACACACAAACACACAACAAGAACATGATGATTTTCTGTCTTCAGGTGAGAAATAAAGGCAGTTATACTATGAAGGAATAAACTGCTTTATCAGTCCATGGATTCATATTTATAATCTGCACTCTATAATCCACGTAGCTAATGATTTTTATTCAATTTGATAATGTTTTCACAAACAAATGCAGAAAGTATAGCCTATTTTTCGTTTAAAAAACATGTAGTTCATCGCACTTAAATTAAGATTTCATTTATTTTATATCATAACATTTAACGATTAATCGACGAATAATTTGGTATAACTGTATATTTTTTACTAGTTATTTTGTGTTTTCAAAGTATGAACAACTGAAAATCTTGATCAGTTTCATACCTGTCAACCCTCCCGTACTTCCCGGGATTCTCCCGTATTTTAATATTCTATCCCGCTATCATCCCGTTTAAATATTTTCCCATATTTCTCCCATATTTTTAATCTTTCTTTATAAAAATTATTCAATAGAAATACATTTAACAAATGCATAGATTGTGTATATGAGATGTGCTGCCATCTGGTGGTCAACTCCAAGATTACAGTTCACTATGATAGTGTTGACTGTTGGGATTCCGTTAGAATTTCAGCATATTATTTACACACAAACACACAACAAGAACATGATGATTTTCTGTCTTCAGGTGAGAAATAAAGGCAGTTATACTATGAAGGAATAAACTGCTTTATCAGTCCATGGATTCATATTTATAATCTGCACTCTATAATCCACGTAGCTAATGATTTTTATTCAATTTGATAATGTTTTCACAAACAAATGCAGAAAGTATAGCCTATTTTTCGTTAAAAAAACATGTAGTTCATCGCACTTAAATTAAGATTTCATTTATTTTATTTCATAACATTTAACGATTAATCGACGAATAATTTGGTATAACTGTATATTTTTTACTAGTTATTTTGTGTTTTCAAAGTATGAACAACTGAAAATCTTGATCAGTTTCATACCTGTCAACCCTCCCGTACTTCCCGGGATTCTCCCGTATTTTAATATTCTATCCCGCAATCATCCCGTTTAAATATTTTCCCATATTTCTCCCATATTTTTAATCTTTCTTTATAAAAATAATTCAATATAAATACATTTAACAAATGCATAGATTGTGTATATAATACCACATTTCATTGTACTGTTTAATAACCTCCAACTCTTTCTGCAGTACTGACAGTCCTTGTTGTCTACGTCTTCCAAGCATTGTTTCTGCCATATTCTCTTTTGTCATGGTTTCTTCTTTCTTTCGGATAAAATAACTGCACAGACCAATTGAAGGGCCAGTTGACCATCCATGCTTGAAGATATGGCCTATAATCGCTGAAATTTCTCAAAAATTGTTACTTTTGACATCGCTCTCTGACTCTTGAAAATTGACCACTAATAAAAATATTGTCAGTACGCAATTATAAAAACTAAATGTAGGGTGTTAAATACAACGTATTTTTTATAGGATTTTGTTTAAGCAACTTGTTTGGGAAAAGAAAATATTTCCCATTCACTAGTCAATCCTATTCAAGTAATGTCTTCTAACAATTTCACATGAAACGTGTGTGATTTTTCACGGTTGTGGCAACCATAGTTCGAGGCTACGTCATTTCGAAGCGCCAACGAACACACACGAAGACAATCGCGAAACAAGACGCTTGTTTATGAGCACTCTTAATGTAAAATGTGTGAAACATCTTTCTCCTTGGGTTTGCAGGAGCTCACAGATTTCACGGAGAGTTGTCAAGCAGACCTAAAGGGTTTGTTTGAGGCGCTGGGATGGAGTCAGGAATTAGATTCACATGCATTTCAGGTTAGAAACAACAGCCAAACACATACAACTATAATGAGAATGGCTTATTTAACAGTGAATGAATTAGTGTAGTACTGTAAATTCATAATGAACTAATATGAAGTCTCATTTAAATAGTGGCAGAATCTTTTCATCTTTTGTTTACCGTGGTTTATGATACCACTTTATTGTATTAATAATTGTACACTCACTGATCAGGTCACTGAATCACTAGAATGTACCATTTGATTTGTTTTTCTTTTGGTGTTATTAAAATGGTCATATTCACTAACTACAGGTAAAATCGCCTGTCTTTACATTTAGTCATTTAGCAGACGCTTTTATCCAAAGCGACTTACAAATGAGGACAGTGGAAGCAATCAAAATCAACAAAAGAGCAATGATATGCAAGTGCTATGACAAGTCTCAGTTAGCTTAACGCAGTCTTTAAATCTGTATACTTCATTTATATTAAAAGGCATACCCTAAATCTTTTAAGATATTTGGCACCTGCTATACTTCTCTTTTGCTTTGAAAGTTGAAAGACAAAATCCCTGTATTCTCTTCTGATTTGACAGATGGAAGTGTGTCCATACGATCCAAACCACACAGTCCCGCAGGACAGGATGGAGAAACACAAAGCCTCCTGTCAGCTCAGTAAGATGGGATACTCCAAAGAGGAACAGGTAAGTAAGGCACCACCTAAATGCCAGTGACAGCAAAAGGTCGTGTGATTTATTTAAAATGAGATTTCAAATTAGTTTGATTTTTTTTCTGCCATGTTTCTAGGCTGAAATGTTTGATCCTTCAGTGTACTATGAGAAAGCTAACATTCCTTCAATTAACACGGGTGAGTTTTTTTTTTTTGACTTGGTGGAACACCTTTCCTTCAATTCAGTCACTTGTAATAAGGTTTCTGTGGCCCTAATTTTGAAACTGGGTGCAGTTGTGTGACAGTAACTTATATCACTTACAGACAAAGATACATTTCATCAAGTGATTCTGCAGACCCCGGAAAGTGCCCCTCATGTGAAATCTACAGGACTTCACACACCTAGTAAGTTTTAAGATTCTCTCTCTAGACAGTGATTGGGACATGTCAGCATTTGTCAGGAAAACAAGCAATATGGCACTTTTAAAATGGTGTGTGCCAGAATGTGTCTATCAATGCAAGTCTTGATTTAATTTTTCCAAATGTTTTCAACATTTATGTGTTCTTTGTTTTTTTCCAGTAACAGGGGTGAGTATTAAAGGAAGCCTGGTCTAGACAAATTTCCACATATACTTGCTGTATCCTTTGGCTCAATATCCTTTTAAAGGCTTTTTCCTTAATATTGTTTGATAAAAGATTTTATCTCACACATTAGTTGTACACATTCACAATAGATGTAAGAAAAAAACTCCAGAAACCTCAAGGTAAATTTGTCCCATTACGTGTTGGGAGTGTCTTTCTCTCTCACCAGTTTTGTACTGCATTTAGTTTTTGCTGACCAGTCAATTAATATTTTATTTGGAAACACATTTTTGAAATAAACCCTTTGATAATGAATTGTTTAGTTCAAATATGTTTTTTTTAGTCTAGGTATTTTTACAAATAATTGTGGTTTTGTGTAAAATCTGTTTTCATTTTTAGGTGACGCATCTACAGATCTTGACATACCTCAGAATCATAAGCGGGCATTATGTGACCTCACTGTGGCAGACCGATTGGCCCTCTATGATCATGTAATACAACAAGCCAGTCAGCAGAGTGCAAAGAGAGAATCCAACAAGGATCTTTATGTAGATCTTGTTGCAAAGCTTAAAAAAGGTACTTGGAATACACTCACAGACAACACGTTAGCTCTGATCATTGATAATGGATTAACTTAAGGGGAACTGAGCCCTGAGGCAGAGCTGCACCATGGAGCCCACTGAGCCCTGAGGCAGAGCTGCACCATGGAGCCCACTGAGCCCTGAGGCAGAGCTGTACCAATGCCCTAATTGCAGCTAATTCACATAAGACCTAAGTTGCACTAAACTTTGAAAATCTTATGAATGCCTTCACTTTCAAGGGCTTTGGTATCAATTTGATCCGTCTTCTGATTTTTTGACCTCACATATAATGGCCAAATACTGAGTACCAATTAATTGATAGTACTGATTGCTATAAGTAAAGAATGATGTTTTGTATAGATGAAGAACAGAGTGGGCCAAAGTCTCATCTGGAGGTCTTGGCAGAGATGAGGGACTACAGGAGGCGCAGACAGTCTTACAGAGCGAAAAATGTTCACATCACCAAGAAGTCTTACACTGAGGTATGTGATTTGTGGTAATCTTATCTACTTAACAACAAAACACTGTTTATGTCTCAGGTCACTATGTCTGGTCTTTCTCTTGGTTGCCTGGGATTTGGATTTAAATGGTCTCCATACTGTGGATGGTTTGAGAGCCATAGAGAATATTTTGTATAATTTTATGCATTTTCCTATCTTTTCCAGGTAATTCGGGAGGTGATTGACATCCACTCTGGAGAACTAGGCAGGATTTGGCAGGAAGTGAAGGATGAGGAGTTCAAAGCATCACAGCAGTCATCTCACAGGTCACATGTCTGATTTCAGTGTAGTTAATCTCCTTCCTCCCTGACAGAAGCAGCACAGAATGACTGATACTGATTTTATGTTGGCTTTTTGTTGCAGAGGGGCATCTGAGAGAGGCCGCTCTGCATCCGTCGAGTCTCGTGTCAGCTCCCGAGAAGAGCATGGGCACAAACGGCGCCGCAAACACAGCCGCAGTCATAGTCGCAAGCGTAGTCGGGAGAGGAAAAACAAAAGTAGCAGGTAAGGATATGAAACACGTGATGTTTATTATTTGATGTTCACTAATTAAAAACAGTTAGTTGGCTGATTTCTAAGTATAAATTAAGACCGTTTAAAAGGTAGTTCATATCAATGCCTGTTCACACTAGCACTGATCTAAATAACTTGAAAGTAAAATAAAATATTTTACCAATTTTAACTCATCAGAAACTAATTTAATGAATCCACCATTGTTTTAAAATTATCTTGTGCATGTTTTTTTTTACTTCAATTTGAAGAGTCTTTTATACTGTTATTAACATGATCATGTCTTTTGTTATTTTACACTCAAATTTCTCACTACACTTACTTTACTGCCAAAATAATATTGATACTTTGTGGTTGTATCATTTTATGACCATTTGTCATTTTGTGGTTATATCATTTTATGACCATTTGTGATAGACTGACTATATATTGTTCTCTCCTTTTGTTTAGTTTTGTCCTCAGAGTTTCACACTCTCCAGACGTGGAGAGACATCATAAGAAAAAGAAGTCTTGAAGCCTAATTTAACAAATCAGGAATTCATGTGTTTAGATTTCAGATATTCTGAGCTTCAGTGTTTTCTCCTGTTTTGTGTGTTTGTTTGTTTTTTTGGACGGTATGCTATTAAAATTGCTATAATAAAATATTACAAATATTAATTTAATGTCCTTTTATTGCATTACTTATAGCATTATTCCATGCCATCATATATTTTCATGTACATTGGTGTTCAAAAGTTTGGGACTGGTGAAAGTCATTTTAATATATTTTACAATGTAATTTATTCCTGTGATGGCAAAGCTGCATTTTCATCAGCCATTACTCCAGTCTTTAGTTGTACTGCTTAATATTTAACCCCATGATAGTTCCCCCCCCCCCCCCCCTTTTAAAAAAAAAAAACAAACAAATAAAATAAGAAAATTGGTTGGCCATTTTTTGGAGTTTTAATGTAACAAACTCTCCACTGATAGCAAGTTTAGTAGAAGCTTAGTTAACCTGAACCGAACATGAACCAGAACAATAAACTTACCAATCAGCAGTTACAGCTCGGTGAGAAACCTAAACCAAGAACTATGAAACACAAGGGCTCTGCAGACTAATGAATAACAAGACACACTTGTACCCCCCCCTGCTCCCCCCCCCCCCCCCCCCCCTTTGAATAATAGAAAATTACTATGGAGTATGAAGTCTGTTCTTCTACTGTGAAGAACAGAATTTAATTGTGATATAAATCTTTAGTAACACTGTAAATGTCTTTCAATTTCATGCATCCTTGCTAAATAGACGTATCCATTATATTATTGGTAGCCTGTATATGTCATATGCTAGTTCAAGGTGAGTGATGTATCTATATAATTAGGGAGAACTCTAATGTTTACTAAGTTTTTTCCACACAGTTTTAACCTGATTTTTATTCAAACTTTAGCTGTTCATTGGATATGTCCAACCATACCTTCTATAGAGAGCCCTTCTATAGAGAGTCCTCTCTCTAAGAGAGAGAAGAACCACCTAAAATGGATTTTGAGAAATCTGTTACCTCAATGGCACATTTTTCCAAGGAGGTCAAAAGGTCATCACAAAGCTTGCAATTCAGGTTTTCCTTTAGGCTTTACTAATTGTAGTAGTGAACCATGTATACTACAGAAAAATGAATTATAATTCAATATTTTGCAATACAAATATTGTTTTGTGTAAAGAACAGTGATTTATATTTGATAGGAATATTATTTTTGCAGTGCCTTTATTCTTCATTACTCTCAGTCCAGTGGAGGAGTGTGTTTGTTTGGTGAAGGCTCAGGTATTTCTCACCCAGTTGAGGAGAGGTGGGAGCCTGGGAGATACTGGTGAGGGACCAGGAGGTCTGTTCATCTGTCTCAGCACAGGGGGACCAGCATCGCATACAAGGAGGGAGAATGCTTTGAGGACCACTGCAGCCCCTCATTGAAGCAGTGCTGCCAGTGTTCTCACAGACTCCCTGATTGTGTTGATTCAAGGGCTCAGAGCTGTGTGTCTGAACAGCGCCTGGGAACCTGAGCAGGAGGCTGCTGGCCATGGGTGCCTCCAGGGTGAAGGTAAGATGCAGGATGGGTAACTCAAATTTAAGGGGAATTCAGAAGGGAATTATATTCATATATGCAAAGCAGGAATCAAATCAACTTTATGTTTGTTTAGTTTCTCAGACGGTTTGCATTGGTCATGTACAGTGTTGTCAGTTTCATTTGGGTTAAGTTGTCGTCTTACAAAAAAGCAAACAAATTGTGGGTCGCTGAGGAGAATTCGATTATGTTTTCAACCAATGAACTGTTAAACATTTTATGTTTGTTGTTAGGCATGATGTGCTTACTATTTTTATGTAAGACTGTCAAATGGTACCACATGCATAGTAAAGTTATTACCAGTTACAAAAGTAGTTTGACATGTTTTATGGGGGCCTTTAATGACCTGTTATTTTTGTTACTTGGCCTAAAAGACCATTATAAATCATGTTACATAAATACACTTTTTTGATTGGGTTTATGTAATTACTTTATTAGGCACTTGTAAAAAAAATCTCACATTTGGGTTAAACTAGCCAGATTTTAGTACAATAATAATTGACAAGAGCCCCTAAAGGCCAGTTCCAGATTTGAAGCTGGTGGAGATTATGGAAATGTGTGCATTGCTCATGCTGCACCTCAGTGTCCCAGAGGACCTGTGGGTTGGTGAGGACCCAATGCTTTGGTTGTATGAGATATTAGTTCCGCCCCCTGCCCTCCTTAGGTTGTGGAGAATTAGAAGAAATTATATATACAGATATACACGCTGTTAAAATATGGCTTTCTTTGTGTTTCATTTGGTCTTTGTCTTCCTTATGGACTGTTTCTACTGTAAACTGTAATACTATAAACTGTTATACTGTTTCTGTTACTTAAGTTGACCATTAATATGTCATGGAGATATCCACTTAAAATAGTCCTGCAGTGTAGCAAATGCATTTTCGAAAGAACAAATATTCCATTTAGTTCCTTGGCTAATGTGAGCTCATATGAATTGTATGTAAATACCATTCAAATGTTTTTTAAAATAAGTCTTGTATGTTCACCAGGGATGCATTTATCTAATCAAAAATACAGTAATATATTTCTTTTAAAATTATTATTACAACTTAAAATAACTGTTTGCTACTTAAATATATATTTTGGTGATCAAGAAATATTTCTTATTAATATGACAGTTGAAAACAGTTGTGCTAATCTCTCTCTCTCAGAACAGCATTTAACAAAAATGCAAAAATTTGCAACAAAAGAATTCATTTGTAGCATTATAAATGTATTTACTGGCATGTTTGGTCAATTAAATGTAAATCTTACTGACCCTAAACTTTTAAAAGGTAGTGTATAATAACTATGCTAAAAATTTAACAATTTTTGCCTGTAACTTAATCTGAGATTGAACAAATGACCTGAAAAAAGTTCAGCTGACTTTTTACATAAGCATTTTGTATTTGTTGGAAAGGTTAAAGGTCACATGCTGTGTAAAGTGTATTGTGTGAACATTCAGTACTGCTGTCTCACAGAGAGAGGGAGATTTTACAAACTATTCAGGGTGAAAAGAAAACCAGCTTTCAGCAGTCTAGTCTGGAATGTGAGAGCAGCCTGAGAACTGTAATGCAGTGCAGCATTCAGATGCCCTGACTGAAATACCGCATTTACATGTATATTCTTGGTTGGCTATTTTACCAAACAAATTCTATTTAATAAGTGCACAAAGACATATCCCCATAAATAAATGCCAATTACCTTCAGCTAACAGTTGTACAGTCTTCAGCAGTGACAATACAGAACCCTATACTTGATACTAACAGATATAGTGTGTGATACAATTCTAGATAGCAGATTCATGTCTGTAATGTGAGGTGATTTTCTAGGGATTCCTGTACAAACTCCTCAGCAATGTGCAGCTCTGTTTAATAATGATCACTAGAGGGAGATCTACATCTACAAGCGCTTACTAAAATGACGCCATTTCCTGTTCATGTTTATTAGGGGGTTCATAAAGTTTCCCGCCTCGCATTTTTAATAAACCATTCTGTCAACATGATTTAATTACATTTTTACACATCACTGTGTGAAAAATCAATTATTTCTCCCATAGTAAAAAATAAGTTTATTGTAGCCTACTGATAACATCTAGGCATATTCGATAAATTGGTCTTGCTTTCTCTACATCATTCAAAGCTTTATTTATTTTTAGTTTTATATAAGATAGAACATGTTCCATTACCTCAGTGACATTTGAGCTAATCACATGAGGAAGTGTGAAACAGGAAGAGGGTTCATTTAAGCACAGAGGCTTAAAAAAACAGATCAGCTTCAATTACCTCATATTTATTTGTTCCAACAAAATAACAACTGGACAAGGAACTGAAGTAATGTAATATTTTTAAAATCAGCTTTATATTAAAATTACTTTTAACAAAGAGAAAAAAAACATTTGTAAATGAGGTGATAGTGGTAAGGGAAAACCCCCAGTTTAAAGAAGGAACTTTTTGAGAAACCACATCATAAAGTGGAGACCCCTTGTTGGTGAAATAACAGCTAAAAAGATTGTAAACAGATCTTCAGTATCTCTAATGAAGTTTGTGAATCCATTTACATTGAAGTTTTTCTGAACTTTACCTGACAGATGTAGAGTTTCCACCATGACGTTGCTGTAATAAGTTCCTCTGCGTGTGTTTGATGGTGTTTGTGTTTGTGCTGATGTCAGGTGTGGGCTGTGTCACTCAGCTCTGTGTTCCTGCTGTGCGTCTTGCCCTCTCAAGCCCAGCACTTTTATTCTGGTTTACAATCAGGTGAGACTATCACGTGTCCAACATGTTTACATTTGTTAGATATGTATAATTGGCAAATAAAACATTTTTAATTAGCCTTTCCCCCCTCTCTTTTACAATCACAGGAGAAGAACACATGTATGAAGGCTCCTTAGTCGATCGATATGATGAACAATCTGGATATACTCACAGCGGTAACTAAGACATTACTGCTACTACTACTACTACTTAAAAAAAAAAAAAAAAGTTCAACCCTCTACTATTAGTGGAACATTAACTACTGTTGTTAAAATAAAGTGCAAATTAAAATGCATAAGTGCAAATTAAAATGTGTGTGTGTATATCGTTTATATGTAAACGATAAGAGATGTTTTATAATTAGACAATTTGTGAATCTCAAACTTGTGCAGTGTAGTATTTTTAGTACTATATTTAATTTATGCTTAATGATATTAAAATATAATTAATTGTATTTTATACAACATAAATGTAATTAATTTAAAAGTAATATAATATATAAAGGTAAATGGCAATATAAAAAATAATAAAATATTTATTTATTCAATTTGTTTTCAAATTTATTGATCATTTAGATGATTTTGGACTTAAACTCCGATATTTCTTCAAAGATTTACGCATTTATACACATACATTTCTCTCTTTTTTAATACTCTTATGACACCGAACACTTTTTTGTTTTCTAAAATATATTATATTATGTTATATTACAATACATTACATCATTTCCCAGATTTGTACATCTTTTAGACTGTTAGTCACCATGTCTTTTATATTAGTATATCCAGTCAGGATCAGTGGGCGCCTCTGTGTTTTTTTTATCTGTTTCCTCAGTTGAGTATCCTGCAGAATCCAAACGCGGCAGTGAAGATGAGCACTCAGCATCCGGCTTTGACCCCTATGCACCTGCGGCCACCGTAGTCACCATGATCACTGAGGAAACTTACCCGTACAACACAGCCGTGGAGTCTTTTGATTACGCCAAAGAGGATAAAACCTTGATAACACAGGTCCCTTATGGAGGGGACGCTGAGCTGGGGCAGGAGGGACCCACCGAATGCGACTGTGAAGCAGGAGAGCCCGGATTTGGAGGCTTTGCTGGACCCAAGGTTGATTATTGCCATGCCTTCGAATTATGTCAAGTTTGCTTTCTTTTAAAGTTGAATGCGTTCTTCAATTTGATTATTGCATTTTTATGCTTGCTCAAAGGGTTCTAAGGGTCTTCAAGGCAAACAGGGGTTTCCTGGGGTTCAAGGAAGGGAGGTATGAGCAAAGCATCGGGTTTTAATGTTCATAGTGTTAAACATCCAATGAAAAAATTCACAAGATCAAACTGACTGGTACTTTATTAGGGTTACAAAGGAACCAAAGGAGTGAGAGGAAGAGGAGGAGACACCGGCCCTGAGGTAGGTGACAGGAAACACTTGTAAAACTTAAACATTTTGTTGCACATCCTGTTCCGACTACCAGGACTTCACTTGTTCACCTTACTAACCTCACTTGCCTTCTGTTTAGGGCGTTTCTGGGCCTGATGGAGAAGATGGTGCATCTGGTTTCTCTGGTGCAATTGTGAGCCAAGAATTTTGGAAAACTTTACTATTACCTATATTATTTTGTGTTTAATAGCTAGTTCCTGGAAAAGTCTCTACTATGTATTTTTCTTGCTCTTTTTCATAGGGCCTTCCCGGGTTACCAGGGGACCCTGGTGAAACTGGCCAATCTGGATTAAAGGTAATGGTTTTACCAAAAAAACAAAACAAGTGTTGATCTTTGTTGTTGCGGAGCTATATGGTGTTATTTTAAATGTGTATAAAGATTATCCAGAATTATGTTCAGCTTGCATTTATAATTTATTAGAATTTATTTGTGTCATGCAGGGTAATGTCGGAATCGAAGGCCCTCGTGGAGGAGTGGGTGTCACTGGAAAGACTGTGAGCAAAATAGCATCTTCAGTAACGCATATCACCACCAGCATTTCCTCTCCACATTTCTTTGAATGTGTTTCATTCCCATGTCAGTCAATAAAATAGGTCACATACAGTAGCTCCATCTGATATTTCAAAGCAGCATCTGTACAGTCATGCTGACTCCTGGTTATAATAGATTCCTGCCAAAATTTCTGACTTGTCTATGAAATTCATCTGAGGTGCTATTTTTCTGACTGGCTACAGGGTCCTGTTGGTGCAAAAGGTAAAACTGGAAAACCAGGCGTTAAAGGTATTAAGGTAAGTTGCTTTACTCTACAAATGTTTACAATTGTTGTGTGGTGTACTTGCTGAAATGTAATGACCAGAAGGTTGCTGGTTTAAGGCCGGTCAACAGGTTTACTTACTTACTTACTTTAATTATTTAGCTAGCTAGCTAATTTGATCCCAATTTCAGCTACCAATAAAAGTCTACAGATGTCAACATTGTGCCCTTGAGCAAGACGCTTAACCTAGTGTTTGCCTCCAAGGGGACTGTCCCTTCAATAAAGTTCTGTTAAATGACTATTAAGCAAACACCTATATTTACATATAGACATTCACAGACATTCACAAGAGAAGAAAAACATTTTTAATGTCAAATGCTTCCCCATTCTGATTAAATGTCAGTGTCATGAGTTTCATTTCTCATTTGCATGTGAGGGAGAGTTTTCTGTTAAGTTTTGTTTGTCTGTTTCTATCTCTTCTATTTCTTTTAATTAATAATATAATCTGTGATATGACCTTTCAAGTGGAGACTGCAGTGACTCGAAGTCTAATTATACATGTGATTTTATGAACTCCATTGCATTGAGAGATTATATGCCATGTCAAAGATTGAAATTATAGTGAAATTAATGGTTGAAATCAAACTTTGATGCTTGTTATCTCATAATTAGATTTTGAGACTTTAGCCTGGATTTCACAGAGAGGGTCACATATGCTATCATTAATTTTTGCTGGTTAGTTCACCCAAAAATTTAATTCTGTCATTTTACTCACCATTAAAGAGCTGGACTGGTGTCTTACCTTAGCTCCGCCCTGAGTGAGCTGTCATCAGTCCGCCATTGTTTCACCGCCGGAGCAGATGTAGACAAGAATGACTCCTAAGCGATTGAGGTCTTCTGTTGATGGATGTAATAATGAACACAGCAGTCTTCGTTTACTCCCGACATCTGAGCCGCTGAAGACGCAGTGGATTATGTTTGTTTTTGAAGGGAATGCGCCCCCGATCTACATAAATGCGTCTATATGTTCACGCGAATCATTCGTGATCCAGCTTCACCTGCAGAAGAAGTGAGTGTAAGGTTTTTTTAATGAATCTTTGCAAATCGCCTTTCCTAATAATGCGCTAATTAGCAAGTTTCACGATGAATGCAGCTAAAGTAAACAGTCTCTCTGAGAGTGGCTCGGGAGAGAGGGGCGGGGGCAGCAGAGCTCATTAACATTTAAATGAAAATGCTACAAATCTGCATGCTCTGAAAAGAGCTGTTTTTGACAGGGTAAAAAATGTGTTTTTCACACTACCATTGAGAAATTTTAACCATGTTACAGACTTTTCATTAAGACCCTAAAGAATCATATCAACTTGTGGAAAATGGGCATCCTATGACCCCTTTAAGTTGTTCCAAACCTGTATGCATTCCTTTTGCTGAACACAAAAGAAGTTATTTTGTAGAACGTGGGTAACTGAACTGTTAATGGGTTGCCTTTGACTTCCATAGTATGGAAAAAAATTACTATGGAAGATGGTTTGGTAGAGAAAAAAAATTCATATAGGGTTGGAAACAACTTGAGGATGCATAAAGAATTAATATTTTTGGGTGAACTATCCCTTTAACTGAATTGCAAACAAGCTGAAAGTTATTAAAATGCTGGAGAAAACTCCATAGCTTACCAGTTACAGCACTTATATAGACTTTCTGTAATACATTCACAAAGAAATTAACCTAAATATTTATATTAAATGGTGATGTCCATCTTATTTGTCAGCTTCTCGTGTAACTGATAAATTTCTAGTTGAGTCTTAAATTGTCCAGACTTGAAACTTTGAACTAAAAAAAAAGAAATTCTGTGAAATCTCCCCATCTTTCAACAGGGTTCCATTGGCAAAACAGGAAAACGAGGTCCTGAGGGTCGACAGGGACAGAAGGTTGGCACTAAGGCTTACATACATAACTAATTATTAGTTTGAAAATATTTTTTTTACATCTGCTGCTGACTAAACCTTCATTTTCTGCATAATTAGGGTCAGACAGGAGCACCTGGATTCACAGGAGACCGTGGCGAGCAGGGTTACTTGGTGATAAAATCACTCAGAAACTTTCTCTTTCCATTTCTCTAACTCATATTGTACCATCAGCAGAAAAATCCCTTTAGTAATCTCTCTATAATACTATCTTTTTCACCTACCGTGCTATCAGGGTTATTCAGGAGTTCCAGGAAATCGTGGGGTGACGGGACCGAAGGTCTGTTCTCATAAAATCACTTATCATTATTCTTACTCATAATGTTCTAGTGACACATAATATTTTACATAATTCCAATTAAAAGCTTTGCATTGAATCAGCACTTGGTGACTAACTTATGGTAGGCAAATTTCTTTCTTTTTGATTTCATCTTCAGGGTTCTAAAGGTACAGGTGGCTTGCCAGGAAGTGATGGGGAGCCAGGAGAGGATGTGAGTAACAAATTGTTTCTGATGCATATGTCATTATTCAGGGAAGAAAAAGTACTGAAGCACTGTTTCTGGGTGGAAAAAATATTTTATAAAATATTTTCCAGGGTCCTCTGGGTATTCCGGGAGTTGTGGGGGTGCCTGGGCCTTTTGGATCTAAGGTAAGAGAATATATATATATATATATGTGTGTGTGTGTGTGTGTGTGTTTACTATTAATTTCCCAGCGAAAACGGTTTCAAAGGAATTTTTTACTCAAAATTTGCAGAAAGTTTATAAATTTCCTTCTTCCTCTTTTCTGCAGGGTTTGAAAGGTGATCGTGGTGGGAGGGGGCGACCTGGAAGAGTAGGAACTGTGGTAAGCTGTGAATTTGGCCCTTTAGGGGGATATTATATTACACTTCCTTATTATTTCAAATGTGAGTGACACACTTGTGATAGCGTGTGAAGCCAAACAAGGTTGATCAGTTGACTGACATGTGACACCTTTTCGAGATCAAAACAAAAGCCATATTATTACTCTGTGGTAAATCAACATTTTGTTAGGTTGGAAGTCACCAGAAATGTTATACCAGATGATTTGTTTATAATATTCCAGAGGGGAATGTACCTAAATGTTGGGGGATTTACCAGACTGTAGCCAGACCCGACTGAAAGTGAAACTACAACTTCTATTTATACCTACAGCAGTTTCACTACATTTAACCTGTTTCCTGAAACAGCAGTGTAGATAATTTACTTATCAGATTATTTGGATTTTCCCTTCATTTTTCCCCCTAAAGGAAATTATACTGTACTATACCATGCATAGCATAGTATAACCGTAGCATAAACAAGTAGTTTAGTCTAAACTATAAAAGGCGATATAAAAGTTTATTCATTTAAATGGGACAAACACTTAAATACTTGAAGGGCACCTATTATGCAAAATTCATTTTTACATGTTGTTTGAACATAAATGTGTGTTGGCCGTTTGTGTACACAACCACCCTATAATTATACAATTTCACCCACTCCTTTAATCCCCAAAAATCATAAGCAGTGTCTTAGAAAAAGTGGTTCACAAAATCGGCTCCGCCCACAACAGTTGACGGACACTGCCATATTAGCAGAGACCCCACCCTGAGTGAGCCACACACAACCCGCCATGTTTATCTTCAAGCTAGAGTGTTTAAAAGCAACATTCAAATAAGAAATGTCTTATTAAGGCTATAGAAATTTAGTCCAAAGCAGTGAGTGATTTTCTGTTTTTTTATTTTATTTTATTGTTTGGCCCATGTCAACAGCGTAGACAGCAGTTATAGATACTGTATATTACGCTGCTGTCACTTAATACACAGATCTAATATAAACATGCAATTTCTTTCCCCGCTGTTTAACTTCACAGACATAACCGTGTTATTGTAACGTATGTGTGTTTTTATTCATTTTTGGGTGAACTATCCCTTTAAACTGGCAAATACACACAAGTTTATGTTAAAAACACACATACGTTACAATAACACGGTTGTGTCTGTGAAGTTAAACAGCTGGGAAAGAAATTGCATGTTTATATTAGATATGTGTATTATTTGACAGTTTAAATGGATAGTTCACCCGAAAATGAAAATGCTGTCATTAATTACTCATCCTCATGTCGTTCCAAACCTGTAAGACCTTCGTTCATCAACACACATTAACATATTTTTGATGAATTCCGAGAGCTCTCAGACCCTCCCATAGACAGCAAGGATCCTTACACGATCAAGGTCCAGAAAGGTAGTAAGGACATGGGTAAAATAATCCATGTGACATCAGTGGTTCAACCGTAATTTTACAAAGCTACGAGAATACTTTTTGTGCGCAAAAATAACGACTTTATTCAATAATTCGTCTCCTCCGCGTCACCCTGGCGCTATTTTGGAGTATCACATACGTAAACAATGTGTGCTGTTCAGTGTCAGCAGCACCATACGCAGATACGTCGTTTACATAGTTTAAGCTTTGATCTGAACGTGAACAACATATCCGCATACATACACTGTATACATTGTTTACGTATGTGATACTCTCCAAAATGGTGCATTAAAAGTATTCTCTTTTGTGAGTAATTAATGACAGAATTTTCATTTTTGGGTGAACTATCCCTTTGAGCGCAATAAGACATGAAAGAGAACTTAGTTTAGTACACGTGACAGCATCTTTCTGTGCTTCGGATGTGTGCTCTCAGAAAACTGTGTATCAGATGTTTCAACTGATATGGCTTTAAAACTCGTGATTTCAATGAGATAGACATAACAGATGTTTTTTTTGGCAGCGTGTCTGAGGCACAGCCCTATTCTGGAAAAGGGAGCTGGGAGCAGCAGCTCATTTGCATTTAAAGAGACATGCATGAAAGCGGCGTGTTTCTGCTTCTACTCAAAATAGACATTTTCAAAATGATATAATAAATGATCTGTGGGTTATTTTGAGCTGAAACTTCACAGACATATTCTGGGGACCCCTGGGACTAATATCTTGTAAAAATGGGCCTAATAGGTGCCCTTTAAAGCAGAACTGTTAACATGGTTTAATACTGTTTGTTTTGCAATATCAAGAACATCCACTTGGACATTTATTCCCTATTAAAAAGAGCAACAGATTTGGTGTTTTATTTGACTTTTTTTCATAGGGTCTACAAGGAGACAGTGGGGATGCAGGAGTTCCGGGAAAACCTGGACCAAAAGGCTTGCCTGGGCCAACAGTATGCAACTGATTTTAGTCTGAATGATGAATCGATTAATTAATCAAATACTTTGTTTCACTGCTTGTTGATTTTAATTGATTTATTAATCAAATGTTGATTGTCTAATTGATGACACAATTGAAATGATACTGGAATAGAACAGTGTTTTTTTTTTTTAAATCCAAAATGATGATACAGTGTTCTGATCTATAGGGTGCCAAAGGAGAAACAGGACCAGATGGTGAAAAGGTGATATCAAAAGCACATAATATCAGTACAATATTAGCCACAAACATTTGTGTAGGCATTACATAAAACAATTCTATCACCTATGAATTATTTTTTTCATGACTCTTCCAGGGCACATTAGGGCGTAAAGGAGGGAAGGGTGTTAAAGGAGATAAGGTACGGCTGCTAGAATCTGAACTAGCCATCACAGTTTCTCTTCCTCTTTCCATTACACTAGCCACAGTTTTTATTTTAACCACAGTTTCGTCATCATTTCACTTCACAGGGAGGTGCTGGATCTCGTGGTGACAAAGGGCAGGTTAGTCTCACTGATGAGGTTTAACAATATTTTACGTCAGTGTGGCAAAGCGGTAGTCCATGTGCTCATGACGTAGAACGACGCAGGTTTGACTCTGGACTACAGTTTCCTAATTTCATCCTCAATCACTCTATTACTTGTCTTCAGTCCCCTTAAGCATATCTCTCTCTCTCTCTCTCTCTCTCTCTCTCTCTCTCTCTCTCTCTCTCTCTCTCTCTCTCTCTCTCTCTCTCTATATATATATATATATATATATATATATGTAAATAATATAAATAAATCTGTTTTATTTCTGTATCTGTTGTTCATCAATGTAAGTAACTGAGATTTTTTTCTGTGATGTAGCGTGGAGTGAAGGGTCGTTTCGGTCGTGATGGGCTTCCTGGTCCTATTGGACCTCCTGGTCTTCCAGGTCCCAGAGGTGACAAAGGCCCTATAGGAGACCAGGGAGTGAAAGGACAGAGTGGGCCAAAAGGAGAACCAGGTGAACCTGTGCGTATCATCATGTTTATTATGAGCAAGAAATTAATTTTGAGTTTATGAATGTGGTTTAAGCTTGAATACAAATATCGATTTCTGTTGTAAAATATATTAGTTCATCTCACTCTGTGCAGGGTCCAGGACTGACGGATGAGCAGATATTGCAGCTGTGTCAAGGTGTGGTCACCGCTCACATCTCCCAGTATGCTTCATCTATACGTGCCAAATGCGTACAGGGCTGTCCGATCAACAACCGCACGCTCATCGGGCCCCCAGGAGTCACAGGACCCTCTGGAAGTCCAGGCAAACCTGTGAGTTGATATACGAGTCACCACAAAACTGGCATATAAAAACACTCTTACTTTAAAAAATAAATAAATAATAACACTCTGACTTTCATTCAGGGTAAAGCAGGAAAGGTAGGTGCTAAAGGAGAAAGAGGCCTTCTAGGAATAAAAGGTGTAGAGGGCCAGAAAGGAGCTACAGGGGACAGAGGTACTGCGCTGACGTTACTATTAAAATTAACATTATAATTTAATGGTATAATCCACCCAAAAATTTTTATTCTGTATTTATTTACTGTCATCTCTACCAACACACAGACACAAAAGAGTAAACAAAGAGTTTAGGGTCCCTTTGACTTCATTAGTATGGACAAACAAACAAACTATGGAAGTCAATGGGACCCAAAACTGTTTGGTTACCAACATTTTTCAAAATATCTTATTTTGTGCATACTGGTTTGAAACGACGTGTGAGTAAATGACAGAATTTTCATTTTTGGTTAGACTTTCCCTTTAACAAAAACAAAAGAAAAACAAAGAGTTTATACATACAAATGAGCTCTCTGTGTTTTTCTAAAGGCGCTAAAGGTCAGAAAGGACAGAGGGGTGATCCTGGAAAAGGTCTTCCAGGGCATGATGGTCACCAAGGCCTCAGAGGTAGGATCTTTTTCTGTCTGCTATTTCAATAACTGTGGATTAGATGTAGTTAAATCTGGTTTATTTCTCCAAACAGGACTGCCAGGCCATCCAGCAGAACCAAAAGATGGAACTAATGGGCCACAAGGACCCCGTGGTTTTCCCGGGCCTGTGGGTCAGCCTGGCATGGTTGGCGATGCAGGAATACCTGGCGTGTGCGAGGCACGAGACTGCAGCATTCATGCTCCTGTAGTGCGCAAAGAGATGGGATTGGTCAAAGGCCCTCTCAGCCAGGCCTGACAACAGTGACGAATGTGAGTGACCCACGACAGGAGATAATCTTCAGCAGAGACCATGAAAATAGTGCTGTCAGATGGAAGACATCACATACAGACAGACTGGAGTCAAGAGCTGGAGATCAAATCTCTACAGATTTGTTTACCAATTTGAAGTCCAAAAATGAAACTATACAAATGAAAACTACCAGCACTTTTGGTTTCATTCATCAACGTTTTAGTTTCATTATAAATACAGTACAGACAATGTAAATAATTTTGTAAAGCATCTTACATTTACATTTACTGTGTCCTGAAATATCATGTTTTATTGTCTTGATTCATCAAGCTGAATTAAAGATCATTTTTTTTGTAAACATGTTAAGCCGTGTTTGATTGTGTGGCATGAATATAGTGTAACCACAAAATTTTATGATCATTGTTCAGGCCATTATCATACATTTTTGAATAACTGTAAAATCCGTTTAGGAATTTTTTTTTTTTTTCTGAATAAATTATGAAGGACAAAACTAATTTGTTTATGACGGAAATATTTATGTCAATGTCAATAAACATGTAATCATTTATAGTGTACAAGAAAAGGAAGAGTTTAAAAAACATAAATTAAAGTAGTATTGGTACATAGATCTTGGCAGTGTGTTTGAGTTGACTCTTACGGCCTTTTTTTTATACAGTGACCTCAGAGTATTTGAAAGCAGCCACAAATAAAAACATTTCAATGTATTTTCAGTATATAGCAAAAACAATTACAAGTTATTTTAATGAAATATTGCACAAGCTCATTTTCAAAATGGAAAAAAGGGATACAAAAAAATCCACATTCAAAATATTTGCATCCTTTTGCACAAATAATACTTTAATTTGAATAGATTTTTATATGCTTTATATATCAGTCCATTGAACCTATAGTCAAAGACCTTACAATATTACGAACACATTCATTCATCAGAGGTAGATTCAAAAATATTTATAAAAAGTGCGAAATCATATATAATTGCACTATGCAAAAAAGGGTCAGAGGATGGGGAACATCCCCTCTACAAGTCTGAGACCTACGAGTGAGCGATGTCTCATGGTACCATCACAGAGGGGCACAAAACCACTTTCCAGAACATTTTCGTTCACCATTCCTGGCTGGTGGAATTATCTTCCCACCTCCATCCGGAATGCTGAATCCCTGAGAATTTTTAAGCGACAGCTAAAAACGCATCTCTTTCATTACCATTTGACCTCATCCTAAAATAATAATAATAGAAAAAAATCTTTGCTTTCTTTCCTTAATCCCCCATCTAGCTTGTACTAACCAGAACAATGCCTGAAACTTGTATTACGAGCGCTTCCTTTGTTTATTTGCCTCTTTATGATGAATCGCTTGTTGTATTCCTCAATTATAAGTTGCTTTCGATAAAAGGGTCTGCTTAATGAATAAATGTAAATGACATCAAACCCCTATGTTTTCATTTGTCTCCATGTACACTTACTATTCCTATGTTATCCTATACCATTTCTAACCATACAGTATATAAGATGTACTATTCGGAGGATGGGAGACATCAACCCCCATGTTTTCATGTGTCTCCATGTACTGTACACTTACTATTCCTATGCTATCCTATACCATTTCTAACAGTACAATATATAAGATGTACTATTCCTATGCTCTAAACTAATAAAATGGAGCCCTGTTATAAAGCTATTTCTAGAAACAAAAATCCTACAGAATTAAAAAGAATCTGTTGAACACTCTCTTTATCCCATATCACTGTAAGTGGCTTGAACGTTGCTTCTGTTGTTTTTGTATACATATGCAACACACAGCAGACACACCACAATGGCTATGACCACCAAGGTAACGGGCAGAAAAACACCTAAAAATCCTCTGAAATGAAACTAATTTCTGTTCTGAAGAATATTATATATTTTACGCGCGCACACACACACACACACACACACAGTGTTTGTTTTATATTACCAGTGTGACCTCTGTTCACAGGGTTGATCAGTGATTGAGGGACTCGAAAGAACAAAGGCCTTCTGTAGCGAGTCAATGCGTTTTTGTAAGAAAAATATCCATATTCAAAATGTAGTAATCACTGTAATGTAGCTTGCGCTCACTGTTGTACCCTGGAAGCAGTTCCGGGCAGATGTACACTGCTTTAATGTTAAAAAAACACATTAGTGAATTTAGTGAAGAGTACGATCCTGATCCACACTCCTAATCAGTAGGTGGCGGTAATGCACCTAAAAGTTGTATGACATCCGCCATTAAAAAACAAGAAGAAGAAGAAGGCATCAGATTAAAACTACCGCGTAAAAACGTGCTCAGCAACAATTACGTAATGGGGGAATCCCGAGATACCAAAGGGAGTTTTTTTTCAAGTGTCAGTTACTTTCTCTACCAAACATCTTTTTAAATGAACTGTATGCGGTTCCGGGTTCACGACTGTGACGCGAATCCCCCACTTCCTCAAAACAGTGAACTGTTTAAAAGGCAAAGAGTCGACAGCAAGCTACAGTCAGAACCATGCATTACTTCTCGGAATTAGTCGCTTGTCTTGTAATTTTAGGTAAGACTCCACCTGTATTTCTGGGAGCATTTTCACGCAGACTCTGTTGATCCAGGTTGACATGAGGTGTTTTATTCACAGCTGTGGCGGAGGGAGTGCGGCGGGAGGTTCGCTTCTTCAGTGGTGAGGACGCAGTCTTGAGTTGTGCGGCGAAATCAAAGCCCGACGTCCAGTACCGTTCCGTCATATGGTACAAGGTAAAGTTCAAAATTACTTATTGTTTTTTTCCTAGAACCTTGAGTTTTTTTGCCTCACATGTTCATGTTTTGTACTAGATGTTGAAATCTGCCCCTATATGTTTTTGAGAAATGTATTGTTTCAAATTAATATGCCATTAAACTTTAAGCTAAACCTCTGTTCTGCAGGTTTCTGAAGAGCCTTCCCAGCTGTTATCTGGACTTGTAAGGAAGAGACTAACCGAAAACAATGGCACAGTGCAAAAATATAAAGCTGTCGAACGAGAGGTCGAGCTACTTGAGAGCTCAATGAGCCTTCTTCTGTCTAATGTAACTGCAGAGGACAGTGGGATATACAAATGTTTTCTGTCTGCTCCCCTTGGCCATCAGAACCAAGAAGGTGAAATCGTTCTGAAAGTCGATGGTAAGTAGGGCCTAAGGGGATTTATAACGGCCACAAAAAGTATTTGAACACATACTTAAGCCACACTTAAAATATACTAATGTTTTTTAGACAACATCGTGTTTCTTTTAGAATCAAAATCAAGTTTACTAGGGTGATCTAGTAGGCTACATTAACCAAAGGTGTAGTAGTTCATCTCAATGCAATAATATCCATACAGTTTTAAGTGTGGCTTCCAAATACTTTTAAGGCCACTGTATAGTTCAACTGTGAGCAATGGCTCACAAACTAACAATCTGATCTTCATGTGTGTTTTTGTTTTCTTTCTTTCTCATTTTTAGAGTATGGTACAGATGAGAAAATGATATTTAATATAAGTGATACAATTTATGGCGTTCTGGCTATCCCAGTACTCATTATTGCATTCCTGATGTTCTGCATAAGCTATGTAAGTACTTAAATACTTAGTCAAGATATTATTTAAATACTTTTGAGTCAAGATGTTATGCATGTATTTTAAAGTTATTGACCAGAGTTATGTTTACCACAGGTTTGTTTAAGGAATGTATTTCAAAGCAACAAGAAGCTTTTAAAAGACTCTTTGCTGAAGGTGCAACATCAAGGGAAAAACTTGATCGTCCCCAATCATTTGATTGGCAAGACAATGCCTGAAGTGTATGTGTGATGGTAACCAGAGTACATGGAGTAGTGCTCGGTAGAAGTCAAATGAAGCTTTGTGCACAGGACATGGAAAGTCCACAGAGCTTGTCCTGAAGAGGACCATCGGCTGACGCACAGGAAGTGGCAACCTACTTGATAAGTTAGTCAAGGTGCAAAGAGTGACAGATGCATGCACAAAGGTTTCAACATCATCAACATTATCTTTTGAAAACTGCATTTTTACACCATGAAAACAGTAAGACCAAGAGAAAAATGGCTTTTTTTCTGTGTTAAAATTGTGCATGCTTCATTATGGTTGCTTGGTGGTGAACACTGTGGAAGTGGAGAAGGACTGTGTTTGGATGTTAACGTTTGTCAGGCACGCCTACAGGTTTTCCACCAAAGAAATGAGATAGTTCTCAGTCTATATAGGCGAATAAAACGCTTTCAAATTATTTTTGAAGTTCTTTTTTCAATGTTGACATTCTTATAGAAATACAAACAACAAAAAACTACCTCATAAAATATTTTCCTGTTGATAAAAATATACATTAAATGGATTAGATTTTTTTTTATGACAGGGGGTTGGTTGTATATTGTATGTTACAGTTTATTGAATAAAGTGAATACAAATAAAAGTTATTGCTACGTTTTGTGTTCTGTTAAGACTGCACATATAAATGTTTCATGTAACTATAATCTAGAAGCTTAGTACAGGTCACAAATAATGTATTTTTAATATGACCTATTCATTTTTAATGATTATTAGTTCAAGAGATTATTGTCAGTAATATTTTATAAATTGACTGGTGAAACTAAAAGTACAATTAATTTAGAATTTAATATTCTAGATTAAAGTAACAGATCTTAGACAGTTTCATCTTTTTTCTGTCACTTCTTAAAACAGACTCTTTGCTATTTTTGTCTTGACTGTTTTGAGCCTACTATTTCATTAAAACATACTGTAGTGAAGTTCATGCAAAAAAATTAATCTGGTCACTGGTCATCTTCATGAATATAATTTAATAATTTTCTTTTAAATCATCATTTGGGATTCACTTTGGAAACTGAGCAGTCAAGTATATGTTTGGTGTTCCAATTTTGAAATTCTAACCCTTTTAGAAGAACCATCATCACCTAAGTTTTTTTTTTTTATCAAAACCAGTCAAGAAGAGAAGAAATGACAAATTGACAAAGCAACATGTTATGAAGAAAAACAGAAAAGGATACATGGCGCTCAAATCACGAACACTAATTTCTCATATCTTTTCTTAGTTGAGCAGAAGTTGAGCAGTTAATTGTGTCCACATATGACACCTGTGCACTGCTGTAGAAAAACGTATTTGTATGTCATCATAGTAAAAGACCTCTATAAAAAAAAAGTACACTTAATTTTTAAGGGGGTCCTTTGAAAAACTCTCGACTGTGAGATTGCAGGTCATTTCAAGTAGGTCTCTGAAGGAAAGTAAGGCAAGGCAAGTTTATTTATATAGCACATTTCATACACAATGGTAATTCTTCTCTTATTATTTTCATCAACAGTATGGTTTAGTAATTAAAATCATTTAATTATTGTCCGTGCAGAGGCTATTCCGTTTTATTGATCTATGGCGCATTCATTTTGATTCTTTACACGTGTAATGATGTCCAGTGACTTGTTTGCATTATTTATGCATTATTTTATTTATTTGTAAGACTTTTTTATGACTAAATTTGGTAATGGGAGAGTAAACATATTTTTAAAACGTACACCGTTCAAACTAGGCTGCTTATGTTGAAGTGTTTGGGATGTGGCTTTTAATGATGAGACCTTTTTTGTAATCAGGCTCTCAAAAAGTATATAACAATTTGGATATAGATTTATCGGCCAACATATCGGTTATCGGCTTTCAAAAATAAAGAATAATCGGTTATCGGTATCGGCCAAAATTTTCATATCGGTGCATCCCTATTTGATATTGGTCTATAGTTGCTCAGTATGGTTTTATCAAGATTGCTCTTTTTCAGAAGGGGTTTAACAACTGCAGTTTTCAGGGAGTTTGGAAAATTTCCAGAAAGAAGTGAGGCGTTCACCACTTCTAAGAGATCTGCTTCCAAACAGTTAAGCACCCTTTTGAAAAAATATGTGGGAAGTGTGTCAAGATAGCATGTTGACGATTTAAGGTGCTGTACTATTTCTTCCAAAATTTTGCTATCAATTTCTTCAAAAGCAGACATAGTATCTTCTTTTTGATATTGTGGTCGAATATGTCTAACCTCTGCATAACTTGGGGATGTGCTAATCGCCTTCCTGATATTATTGATCTTCTCAGAAAAGAAGGAAGCAAACTCATTGCATTTGCTGTCATAGAGCATTTCACTGGCAATCTGACTTGGGGGGTTTGTCAGTCTCTCAACAGTAGCAAAAAGAGTGCGAGTGTTGTTTAAGTTACTGTTTATAAGGTTTGAGAAGAATGACTGTCTAGCTTTGCCTAGTTCCACATTGAAAGCACGAAGGCTGTCTTTATATATGCTATAGTGGATTTCAAGTTTCGTCTTCCGCCACATCCGCTCAGCTTTTCTGCATTGTCTTTTCATACTCTGAACTGCTGTTGATTTTCTCCAAGCTGATTTCTGTCTGCCAGTCTTCCTGCTGACTTTCAAAGGAGCAATGTCATCAATAACATTCTTAACTTTTGAGTTAAAGGAATCAAGGAGAAGATCAACAGAGTCTGCAGAAATGCTTGGTGTTAAAGATATAGCCTCCATAAATAGCACATTAGTGTTTTTGTTAATGCATCTTTTTCTGACAGAGACAGATCTAGATTCAGTGGTAACAGAGATCAATATATCAAAGAAAATACAGAAGTGATCAGATAGTGCTACGTCCTTAATAACAATGGATGAAATGTTTAGACCTCTACTGATGAGTAAATCTAGAGTATGTCCCCGATTGTGTGTGGGTTCATGCACATGCTGAATCAGGTCAAAAGTATTTAAAACAGTTATAATTTCTTTTGTAGTTTTGTTTTCTGCATTATCTATGTGAATATTAAAATCCCCTGCAATAGCAAAACAGTCAAACTCTGAGGAAATCATTGATAGCATTTCTGTGAACTCTTCAACAAAGGCTGGAGAGTATTTTGGAGGCCTGTAAATAATGATAAACAGAATGCGTGGAGCACCTTTCAACACAATCCCTAGATATTCAAAAGACAAGTACTGATCAAATGACACTTGCTTGCATTGATAGACATCTTTAAATAGAGCAGCTACACCTCCACCTCTCCTAACAGTCCTGCAAACACTCATGAAAGTGAAGTTAGGAGGGGCTGTTTCATTGAGGACCGTTGCACTGCAGCTGTCTTCTAGCCATGTTTCATTTAGAAACATAAAATCCAGGTTGTTTGTGGTTATTAAGTCATTGATTAGAAATGATTTATTTTTTAGTGAGCGAATGTTTAAAAATGCTAACTTGATGGCATTGCATTTTGTCTCAACAGCAATATTAGTTTGATGCATAACAGGCCGCAGATTAGATAAGTCAGCCGTACGGCTTGAGAAGGCCTTAGACTTTCTATCACGTGATAAAACAGAGATAGAGAAAACTACAGGCACACTGGGTTCCCGCTTGTTCTGTAAACATTTGTGAATGTTGCTGCTATTATAGCGGGGACCCGACACATATCACTGGGAGCTGTTATCAGTTGTTTTTGGTTCACCTACAGCAGATGGAGGGTTTGGGCCCTGGCGTTGTGGCAGCGGCCGGAGAGCTCTCACAGGAGGAGGAAGACGAGCTGGGCCCACAGGCTTTGGTGGTTGTGGGGCCCGCTGTTTTTTAGTTGATATCTGGGGGCTTGCAGCAAAAG